GCAAACTCTTTAGCAGCGTTCATGTCCGGACCTTGGTCCGACTGCATGACAAGAACACTCCGATCGGCCAAAGACTTGTCTGCATCCTCTGCGGCCACTACAAACTTTTGGAGACCTCCACCCGTGATAGCATCACGTGATCCAGGGACAACAGGGCTGCGTATGTCGGCAGGCGCTGTTTGCTCACCTGCAGCAACGGGTTCTTGACTTTCTTCTGCTTCTCTGTCTCTTCCGTCTCCCGCTGTCGCTGCATTCCTGGCGTGACCGTGACTCATTACTCCAATCACACTAGTGTTTCGCTCTAGGCGGTCTACCGTGGGACAATGGTCTCAGAAGTATCCAGTCTCGCAGCGAGACACACACACACACACGTCATCAGAATGATCTGGCACATCTAATGACAAAGGAGCCGCCAAGGCTCGAAGAAACTGCACTGTGGCCTGCTCGAACAGTCCAGCTTCCACAGGCGCGGCATGCGTGCCAGCTTGTCTGTACTCGGAGTCGGCATGTGTCTGGACAGGGCCAGCTTGTATTATTCATTATTCTATATCCAATTCGCTTGTCCCGTCCTCTACTCTGCTTGTCCCGTCCTCTAGCTGAAGGCCCAAACTGATAGCACGAACTGAGACCCGTTCCCAACACTGACCTTCCGAGCGACTGAGATTAGAGTCTATCTGATTATCTGAAAGCCATAATTAATGAACTCCTGCTCATGACTGAAGTAAACCAAAATCGCAACCAACCGAGCCTGAGGCGGGCCCCAGCACGCCACGCCGGACTCTAAATCCAGCATGGCGAAATGGCTCCGCTTCCGGCCGCCTCCGCGACTTGCATCCAGCGACACGCAGAGACGTTTGCATCCGCCGAAGCCTCTTCGAGCAGCGACAAAGTATGCCCCACGTTCGCATCTCTTGTCGCGAGATGACAACCAAGTTTTCGCTCGGGCAGCCGCTGCTTTGATGGCCGCGCGGGCCTTCGAACTCATTTTCTGGCTGTTCTTCTCCTTCTTGGATGCCCGGGCCCATGCCATTGCCACGGCTCGATGACGCTCTGCAGGGTTCTTCTTTCTGTTGTGCGTGAAGCGAAGCTCATGTGAGTCGGCCTTCCCCGCAAGTTCGCTGGCCAAAAAGGCTTTGCAAGCTTGATCTGCAATGCCGTGCACCACCTGGCATTCCAACCACGAAAGGTGATCGGTGCGATGCAGCCCAACGAGCAGATCGTGTACATGCATAGATCCACGCA